ATTTAATTTATATTATTATCACCCAAATGGACAGAATTATCTTTGACTGTAAATTTAAGTTAATAATAAGATATAACTTTTTAACGAGTCAAATTATGAAAAATATGTGTCTACAAATAATATAAATTATTGGGCAATTATATACTAGATCATGTTTTAGTAGTAAAAATTAACTCAAATACATTTTAATGCACGATAATATTATAAAATATTGATGTAATACCGTAACATACTATACCAATCTAAGGAAAAAATTTATATGTATTATAGTATTATTATTATGAAAATTAACAACTTAATCATATATCTAATAGAATTTGTGTGTTAAACAATCTAATATGAATTATAAATTATTACAACCTGTACAAATTGTTCTAAATAATATGTTTACCTAATCATTTTTTATATCTTAAAATTAAAAATTAGGTTTAAATTAATTTACACATATTATTTAAATATTTACAAGAGGACGTTTCTTGACTGTGAAACTATAGCTGATGAGAATTTTGTTAACCAATCCATATTTATAAATTATATTTCACCAATGTGAAAAAAAAATATATAAAGGCTTGTATTTAAAAAAAAAATCATATTAGTGTGATATTATTAGTTTCAAAAGTTATTATTATAAACATATATTCTATTGTACTTTTAAGTCTGTTGGGCGTTATCGGGGTAAGTATAATATGATTTTGCTTCTGTTAATACATTTAGATTGAAAAGCATCCTCAATTTTAAGTATTTTATATACTGCGAGTATATAAGATTTGAGTTAACTGGTACCAACCTACAGTTTTTGTTCCCAAGTTAATTCTCTCTCTTTCTCTCCCACTGGTTACAGTATATTGCATATCCACTATTATTTAATTTTAGTTTATCTTTAATTTATACATTCAAATTCATAATCTTGTTAACACGATGAGTACCTAAAATAATTCATGTGATATTTTAAGATACGCATTAATTGTTTTTTAGACTCTAAGCAGAATTATGAATTTATTTATTTTACAATGATGTATATATTTTTTTATCTGAAAACACTATTTTTAGTGGTAAAAATTCTACTATTGCAACTCATTGCTGATTGACAAAAATACTAATCATCTATACTGTACCACAAAGCGGATAACTATTTAATGGCTTTTTTATAACTGAAAATTTTAAAATATTGTAATCATCATAATTTACAAACTATTCATTCCAAAATATGAAGTAGGTAACTACTAACTACACAATTTAAAAACGCTGATAGTAAATAACAGCTGATAGCATATCAAAGAAGCTGTTCAGTATTTTTATGTTGGTAGATCTACATTTAGTATTTTATTATTGTTTTGTTCGAAGCTTGAACAATAATATTCCCACCAAAACGTAATGATATTAATATTTAATATTTATTAATTTTATTATTATATGTTAGGCATATTTTGTAATTTGTAAAATAATTTGATTGTTACTACTTAACACTTATTAGGTAGTTATTTTATCATAAATATGGGAAAGCCACACAATGCAGCTCGTAAGTACCAGTGTAGGTACTAGGTAATCGCTACTAATATAATATGTTTTTTGTTTTAAATAACATTCTACTTCTTTGCTTCATTTTTTTTTTTTAATTTTCCCATATCATTTGCTTTAAGTTCTGTAATTTTTAATAAAATGGTAAACGATAGTAAAATATTATATTTCTTGTATTGTTATCTATTATTTATGCTTACACCATTGATATAAAACATAGTTAAATACCAGAAAAAATAAGAAAATTAATTCATTATTAATCTATATCATGATATGATAATATAATAATAATAATTATTATTATTATTGTCACCATGTGTTGTAGTTTCTTGCATTGTGCAAAAAGTAGAGTTCTATTATAATATAATTTTAAATTATTTATTTAACCACAAAACTTATCTTTTTTTAAATATTTTAATCATCAGCTAGGCTGTAAAGCATAGGTAGCGAATAGCGATAAATAAAAATGTTCGCTATTTTAATCGTTACAAATAAAGTAGCATGCTACTCTCATCTTTATTTGTACTACCTATTATTATTATTATTATTATTATTTATTACGTATATTATGAAAAATATAATTTATTGAAATACCTAAATACAATATTTGAATATATACACTAAATTTTATGATGCTAAATTCAAATGGATAGTTATTATGTTTTTAGACCTTAATATTATCCATACATGAACGATTTATCAAATTTGTATGCATAATTTTCTATTAATTAGTAATTAATACTTTGACGTTCTTTTACGTTATCAATATTGTTGTTCGGTAATTTTTTTTTTTTTAATTCCATTTTATCTATGCCTATACTGGCCGTAATGAATTATTTTATTGCTCAGTTAATGCGTATTATAGGTACAAAGTTTATGAATCCAACTTCAACAGAAATTTTGCAAGAGTTATTAAATTCTTATCAAAATTTATTTATCTGTTATGATTATCAGAGTATACAAAACATTAAAATAGCCTTTGATTAAAATCGAAAATCATAATTTAGTTTAGAGAGAGCTCCGGACACATCCACTGACTAGTAAAATATCTATAATTAAAAAAAGTAATTGATACAATCTATGAATTAATAATTATTATATTGGCCTATCTTAAATGTGTTAAAAATTGCAATACTTCAATCATAAATAACTATCATATTATTATATTAACTATCTGCAGTAAATAAAGTCTAAATCACGAATCTTCAATCTTTTATAACAAAGGATTTCCTATTATTTAAAAAAAATGTAGCGGGCCGCATTTGTAAAATTTCCTATTTAATATTGTATTAAATGATTAAAAATGTATTTCAAAATATATTCTATACTTAAAATATGCTCGAAATCCTCAAATATAGATAATTTTGTGAGTTGAAACCTTTGGTTTAAACTGATATCACCATATTATTTCAAACTTCGGATAAAAATTATTTTATTGTTAGTTGTCAATCGGGCGATCGGCATCAGATCTCTACAATTTACGTAGGTACCTAAGTATTGATGAGCGATGGAAGTCCTCCGTAAACAATGATTTATTTTATGACTTTTTCTTATAGTTTTATCACCTCTCTGTAAGTATCGATCTTTAACGGATTCAGTTAATATAAAATTGTTTCTAAGTTCGGATCACTATGATTTGTAGCTGTTGAAAACTTTGTAAAACCTTCAAAACCGTCTCCTCCCGCGTCAAAAATTTCTGCAGGGGCACTTTAAAACCTTTATAACTTTGCACAGGGTTGACGCTTTATGACTAATTAGCAAATAATTATTTATTCATACAATTTTATTTTTATATCAATTAAATATTTATTGATTAAAAAAAAAATATTTGAAAAAAACATTAGGTGCTACAAATTTGTGTTATTGGGTTTCAATGTAAGGCATATTGGAAAATAAAAATCATGTTATTGTTCCTATGTTATTACTGTTATTAGGTATAAATGTATAATATTTTAGTAAAATTAATGAAATATTGGATTTATTTTAATTTTACTTAAGTAGAACGTTGACCTCTCTTAAGATCGATATACATATAGTATAATACACACATTATACCGATGTATATGTATATCGTATATATACATATATTCCAAGTTACTACTTTCTGAATAGGCTCAGTGCCTAGGGCCTACACATTTTTTTAAAAAAATAATTAGCATTGATCAAAATTATATATTACACGGATGTATAGCTTTCGAAAAAATAACGTGGCAAAAATAAGTTATGATAAAATAATATTATTTTAATTTAACGTATCAATATAGAATATGAAATGGTTTATTGTTTAAAATTAACTATAAAACCTACGGCAGCCTTATTCAAGGAGTGTTTCTGTCTAAATATTTGAATACTTAACATGTTTCAAAATAAATAAGTTAGTAGAGCTTAATTGTTTAAGACAATAGCTTTTAAGATAAAAAATTATACGTAGGTATTGGGTGATTTGAATTTTGCATTTTTGTATTACTTTTTATACATTATTTTAGTGTTTAGATCACTAATTATATGAAGGTTATATTATATTGGAGCGAAAAAGTGAATTATAATTATTGTGCGATTGAAGTATAATTTGGTATGCATTATAAATATACAATTTATTTTAATATATATTATATTTTATACTAATATAGTATAATTATAACGTTATCTTTTAAATACTTAACCAGTATAAATTATAATGCGAATATTATATCTTATAATATAATAATTTATTGTAAAATTGATTTAGAATCTAAATACAAAAAATATATGTAAATAATAATAGCTCATTATTTATAATCATAAATCTGATTATAAATAATTTAAATTATAAATTATATTTTTCACACTTTTTGGTTTTAAATGATTATAAAATGCACAGAAGTTATGTTTTTAATGATAAAAGTGTAAAATCAAATCCCCTCCTATGTTATTGTCGTGTGCAAATGACCTAAACGTCCCAAATCTATTGATTTAGATCTCAAAATAATTAATGAAAATTGAATAATAATAAAAATTAATACTCTTAAATGTATACAACTAACATAATATCATTCTATTTAGTACCTACTTATTCATCATTTTTGCGGTCAATATACACAATGTAACTTGCAATGATTCTAGATGACGATAAAAAAACTGAACGAAAAAAAAATACTATTATACTTGACGTCTTTACCTATTCTTAAAACTAAAACTAAACTGTATGATAATCTGAAAAATGATGCGTCATGGTAAGTTATGACTTATAATTCATAATCTATGGTGCACAGTGTAATCAATAAACAGTGTAAATACACATTTATACTCATTAGATTATCATTTTATCAGTAAGTATTGTTCGTACAGCATCATTTTTATTTAAATTGATTTGTAAATATGTGCGTGCAGTTTTGACATAATAAAATATTTTAAAATTTTTCTAATTTTATTCAATTATCAGTTGTAAATTATATTAGAAATTATTGTTTATATTTTTTATAATTTAATTATTAAAACGTAATAGTGCATACATAATAATTTATAATTAAAATATATTCCAGTTAAAGACAATTATTTGGTACTATAGCACAAAATATTGTTATGAGTTATCGACGTCTTAAAGACAACAAAATATATTGGTATGATACAATAATCCATTGGTATAGTTTTACATTAAAGGACGTGATGGTCATGATGTCTACATGTGCTGTCTTACAAACGTGCAACATAGAAAATTTACATAACAAGATCCATTTTGTGTTGTTGATTTTAATATCATATTAAATTGAACTGTTATCAAATTTAAAGGTAAATATTATTTAATAATATTATCGTGTTTTATCTATTATCATAATTTTAATTTAAAACTAGGAATAAACATTTTTAAATATTAATATATTAGTATATTACATAGGCATAGGTACTTATAATAAACAATAAATTGCTTTAAAACAAAAATTAAAAAAAAAAAATGATCAGAGAATACAGATAATATTATTAACTTTAAATTGTATAAGCCAATTTACTATAATATCAAAACTAACAACATAAAATAGTTTCTTCTGAATATAAATTAGCCATGTAATACGTTTGTAAGACTGATACACCACATTTAGGCATCAAATATTTTTAACATGATTAATTTTATAAGGTTGATCTGTTGAAAAAAAAAATTTAAGTTGAGTTAAAATAATTTTATATATTATGTATTATGTACCAATTAGCGTAATAGTTTTATTATAAATTATATTATTAAAATATTTTAAAATACATATATTTATATTTATCTTAAAAAGTATAAATCAAACATCTTTTAAAGTAATTTTTTTCTCTTGCTTTAAAAGCAAGTCTTTTTTAATATTTATATAATCTATACAGAACAAATAGTTATAATCAAGGCTAGGAACTTTACACTCAAAAAGTACTAAATATGTATGCAATTATTCACGTGTAATATTACAGATTAATATGCTTCAAAAATATGTACCTACTTATTATTTTTTATACTCACAATTTTCATAAATACAAATATTTTGCTAAAAAATATTTTTATATTTTATAATTTGTACTAAATATTTATTAATAAAAACAGGAAATTGTATGTCAACTAAGAATTTGAAAAAACACAATATGAATGAAAATCCTCAAAATAGAATATATATTATAAAGTATTTCTTTTTTTCATTGTCCAGTTTTCAAATTTTTTTATAATTTATAAAAAAATATATCATTAATCATCAAATATACTCTGTAAAATGGTAAAATTATAAAATATGCTCTTAAAATCACAAAATTGCTAAATATCCAAAATATGCACTATAAACTTTAAATATTATTTTAGCAGAGTTGTGAAATTAATTTCAAGCTTGCTTAGCAATAAATCTAATAACTCGAAAAAAAAAATAATAATAATACCTAATAGATAAAAACATACAAATGCAATAACTTCCGAGTCTTAATTATAATATTTGTATCTAGGATTTATTTTTAGAAATTATATTAAAATTATTACTTTTATTTCATTGAATAGGTTATATTTTATGAAATATGAATCTATATCTAATTATTTAATTAATTACCTAACCAAAAGTCATATTTTATTTGTTTATATTATAGTCGTTTGAAAAGACAATACGAAAAGACAACTGCTATACCACGTTGTATTAATGTTGCTGTTGTGGGGCTTTCTGGTACAGAGAAAGAAAAGGGAGCAGAGGGAGTTGGTAAATCATGTCTATGTAACAGATTTATGAGAATAACATCTAATGACTTCAAAGATGATCATATTTCTTTATTAAGCAATGTAATAGTTTAAATATTTATTGATTATCAATCAAAAATTACAAAATATATAATGTATTAATTACTTATTGAATATTATACAGATACATATAATTCTGTTTCTATACTTAGTCTGATTTTAGTGGACGAGTTGTTAATAACGATAATTTTTTATACTGGGGAGATGTTATAAAAACGTCTGAAGAAGGTACTGAGTACATGTTTCGTGTCATTGAACAAACTGAGTTTATAGATGATTCAACATTTCAACCGTTTAGTGGTAAATAACCCTTTTAGTTTTACCTAATTATATGTAGCTTTTTAGGCATAAGAGAGTGTTGGTTTGATTCATTCTGCTATCGGGAATCCAGAACTTTTTATTTATATCAAGGCCAAACTTAATAAATGTATATTGTATATCTTTATAGGGTTTCATACCTTATTTAATTATTTATAATCGTTGTATCAGAAACTTAATCATGTGAAAACCTATATAGATATTAAGATATCATGTATACTATCAGTAATATAAATTAGAAATTATAGGGTTAGCCTAACTAAACAATAATGTTTTCTTATATATTTAACTTGTTTAAAGGCGTTAAGTCGTGCTATAAATTTATTTTAATAATTTGAAATTCTTTAATAATAACTAAATGGTTTTAAAACTCTTGAGTTAAAATATCATTAATTAGAATTGTAGGTTAATTTTTTTTTTTTTTAATATTAATTATCATTTATGGTCAGTATTTTAATTTTTAAATAACATACGTACCTACGTATTATCTAATAGAAAAATTTTAAAATAGTACATTTTATTTTATTTATATAATATAATGATGATAACATTTTTAAAATGATTATTGATAAAATTGTTTAAGGAGTTAAAATGGATCCATATATCAAACGCTGTGTGGCTACTACGATTGAATCGCCTGAAAAATTAATGTATATTTGTAGAAGCCAATTAGGTATTCATAATTTAAAATTTGTAATATTAAGTAGTTAAATTAATATAGCTATTTTATTTTATTTCTAATGTACAATAAAATATGAAATAATATACGTTATCATATATGAACTTATAAAAAATGTATTTTTTCAATATTATAGCAATACATTCTATTAATTTCAGGTGTCGAAGAAAAATATGAGCAAAAAGTATTACCTCCCGGTGAATTCAATGTCGATGGTTTTATATGCGTGTTTGATGTCAGTGTAGTACCTGGTCGTAGTATTGTAAAACAATTGGAAACTGTGACTAATATATTAAAAAATATAAAGAATACAAAAAAACCAGTGGTATTAGTAACTACAAAAAATGATAAATTTCATGAAGCATATGTTCAAGAAGTTCAAAAACTTGTATCTCAAAATGAATTTAAGAAAGCTGTACCAATTGTAGAAACATCTGCTTATCTGAATATTAATGTTGATGTCGCTTTTATAGTTCTAGCTCATATTATTGATAGATTTAAAGGCCGTACAAAAATAGTTCCTTATTTGGAATCTGTTAAAAACGAATACTGATGCAAACCAGACGTTGGTACGATTATAAGTAAATCCAGAAATGTTTATCATTCTCTGTTTACGTAGTACGTATCTATAAGTATGAAATAATTTTTTCAAATTAACTTTTAATGCGGTTATAACTAATAATTTTTTAATAGTTAATTTTATTCTGTAAAATTGAATTAAATTTTAATTAGTGCATGGATCTAAACCTCAATATTCTTATTTTAAATAATATAAGATATTTTACTATAATTAACTGTATATTTAATTTTTACTTCGTAATAATATATGCATTTATTCTTAATTATTGTAAACTAAAAAATTAATGAATTTGTAAATACTTGAATTTATTTAAACATTTAAAAGTTAAAGAATAAATTTAAAACATCACGTTTTTTAAAAATATATGTTATTTGGATACTATTAATTAACTTAATTTTAAATTATGTGAAATTAAGCTATAAAACAACTGGAATAGTAAAAAAAAAAAAAATGTGTTTACGATTTTAAAATACTTTGTTTATATATAGGAACCCGCATTTTTATTTTCCTAACTTATTTGAATTACCTATATATATATATATAAACATACAGGGGTATACCTATAGTTACTAGATAGATTCATTTATAAGAGAGAAGGTGCTAAAACTTAAATGTTAACTCAATATACTTGCTAGTTGCTTAATATAGATTTAAATCGCGTATTATAAATATGTTTTAAGAGCAAATATTTACTATTTTTTACATCATAGGTACCTATGTATTATTGGTCAATAAATGTAGATAATAAAGATAATTTTTTTTTTTTTGTATAATTCAAGGAAGTTAATAAATACATTTACAACAATAAAATGAACTATAAATATCTATTATATACATAATACTGTACATTTGAAATAAACTTAGTACCTAAATCAATGCTAAAATCATTCATTTGTGAATGTTGTTAATACGAAATTTAAAAAAAAAAAACTGGTTACCAGTCGGTAGGTGTTTAGTGAGTCATTGAGGTGGATGTGTTGAATATTTAAATTCAATGATATTTCATTATATATAAAAAATGATTCAGAGTGAAGACTGTCTATCAGTGTATAATATTACCAAGTATATTTCATGTTGTATTTTTTATATTGCTATTAAGTAATTATTTATTTTGTATTAATTTACGGCAGGTTAAATTAATATTGTCAAAAACATTGTATATAAAATGAAACAATATACATAATAGTTTAATTTCTGAATAATATTTTTTAACTATAACTATTGATCATATAATAGTTTATTACCTACTATATTCTGTAATCAATGCTATAATAAAATGATGGAAATCGTTATTCATAGTTAACATAAAGTATGTAATTTTGTCCAAATTTTAAAAAAAATGTGCTTGTACATTAATTTTTCAGTTTCAATATGAATTACTTATTAGGAATTTTTTATTAAACTTTTAAGCCTTAGAAATAATAATTGCATATTTTATTAATTTTTAACTACAAAACTATTTTCAAATTGTTGTGATTTTAATGAATTTTGTCGTAGTTTGAATATTGAATAATTTTAAAAACAAATTGTGCTTATGCATTTTAAATATTTTTGTATAGTTATAAGAAAAACTTATGTAAGATTTTATATTTCATTAAATGCACATTTTTTTATCAACATTTATAGAAATCAAATTTGTAAAAATTTCAAATTTTAATTAATCATTAATAACTCAAAAAGAAACAATATATTTTGAATATTTTATCATGTTTAAAAAATGATTATTTAAACATTTAATAAAAATTTCAAGTATCTGATAATTAATTGTTTTATAATTACAACAAAATACCAGAAATCGTTTGAAAAGAAATAGTAATTTTATGAGGAAATATCCAATGTTATAAACATTTGAACTTAAACGCTTATAAAATATTAGTGTGATTTTTTGAATCTAAAACATTTTTTTCTGTCTACTTAAGTTTGATTTGATTTTTATTTTTATAACCGGTTTCAGATCAGTCTAAAAAACAATTAAAAAAATTTTGATTTTTTTTCTAATTCCCACAATATTATGGCGTGTTAGTATAACCTAAATTGTCTTAATTTGAAGGTTTTTCGTGTTTAATAAATGGAATGATTTTATTTAACAAAATTTTTGATTAATATTTGATACTGATAATTTTAATTTGTATCACGACTTATAGAGTACCATATTATTTACTATTAAAATATTTTTTGGATTTTAGCTGGCATTGTAAATTGGTGCCACTATCTAATCATCTGGCTAAAGGTCAACGAATAAACCGGGCTTTAGGTTTACAGATAGATATAATAATACAATTATTACTTTTTGAGAAGTTGTAAACATTTTTGGTGCATAGAATATTACGCATTAGATAATATACATTTTTAACCAAAACCTCATAATTATTTTAATTTATTTTGTTAAGGCTTAAAAATTTAGTACATATAAGTAATATAAAATTAGAATACTTTTTAATTTGTGAATATTATCTATAAAAATAGTTCGATATACGCGCAGGTGCGTTGTCCATTATTTAAAACTTCGTGAGTTATAGACTATAATGAATAATTTGTATATAACTTAGCCAGTGACATGGTAATTTAAAAATCAAGATATGAATAAAAATAGTAGATACATTTTCGTTGAATTTTGATTTTTGATTATTAAATAATATTGTGATTTTATTTTTTAAATTCCATTAATTAGTTTGTAAATATAATAATTTGATATTTAAAAAAATATATGAAACTATAACAGTGAACTTCAGGCAATCGATGGTTAAACTCATATATTATTGTCAATTTATATCATAGGTACCTAGTTTTAAGTATAGCTATTAATTTCATCCAATAATACAACAAAAATAATATATATATTATCAATCTTGTTAGTGTCTAGGATAATCTGCATCTATTGACCAATAATATGCTGTTCAGAGTAGCATGATATATGTAATATAACATTGAAGTGTTAAAAATTACAATGATGGCAATATATATTTTTTCAGTCAATACTACTGTACAGTTATTCTTTGAAAATTAAGATTTGATTGGCAAATAAAAGAAATCAGTTTGTAAGGGAAATATATTCAAAATGTATATCGGTAGAAACATAGATCGATCTAACCTTGGGCTACTGTCCACTAAGTTCATATCGATGTCATCCAATTAAAAATCCTTAATAGGCAATAGACTGTTAAAGTATACTGATCGTCTGATCACGTTAAGTTTAACAACGAATGAGTTGTATAATAATGCTTTGGAATAATATCTATCGTCACGTACTTTGATAAAAGTGCATAAACTATAAGAATAATATTATAACAATGTAATATAAATAGATAGTTACTTGCTGATTCCAAAAAAGGATACAAGAAAATTGTAATATAGTATATAAATGTATAATAGTCGATAAGTTTATACAAATATTAAAAATCGCAACATAAAATATATGTTTTATTTATTGCGAATACGACAATTTTACGTGTGTGTTACACTTTTGTAGTTAGGTCCCATTCATAATGCTTTTTCCATAAAATAAACATACCTATATGCATTATGCTATTAATCAATATTATATAACATATTATTTTAGTATCGTCAGTACAATCTTAAGGGAAATATTTATCGTCCGACATAGCATTGAAGTATCACTTACATATAAAGATTCTAGAAACAGTATCCATTTGTATACATTCAATGGTTCAACTACGACACCACATAACGTTACTTATGCAAAAAGAAAATCTTAGTTATAAATCAAGCTATTTGTAATTTTATCGGTTTTAATATTTTTCTCAACACTCGTCACTTGCATTCGTGTCCAAACGACTATGCAGTACGCCAGAAGAAATGCATTTCGTAAATTCCTTCTGGAAACTATAAAACACATTTTAAGATTGTATTATATTATTTACCAGTTATCAGTTACCTATATTATGTTTTCGTAGACGTTTATATTAGGTATATATTAAAAAAATACCTACTATAGCTAATGTTATCTGGTGCATCCTGGTTCGTTTCGAACGAAACTATAAACTCCGACCTCAAATTACCTTCCATCAACGATACAGCTGCTATCTACTATAAACACTTCCACGCCAAACTACAAGATATTCCTAACCATCTAATCGATGAGTTAGCCTCACTAACACTTCCAGGTAACCCAACCAGATGCCTCAAGAAGAAATGGTGCCGTTATTTGATAACTGAAGTTAAAACTTATAAATGTAAGAACTAAAAGGTGTCACAAATGTGATTCCCTCCTCATATGTTTATTCCTGTAAATTGTCTGTAAATGTTAATTACTATTACTTATTGTACTATGTATAGATCGTAATTCTTCAAATAAAGTCAATAATAATAACGATAATGAAAAAGTGGACAAATATGTATAGGTAACCATTTTCCAGTACAATAATTATTATAAAGGTATCGGTATGTCTCGTCTTTGAGTAGATCATAATAGCTGTAATGTATTTCTTAAAAATAAATCGCTGCAAACACAACACAATATTGAGGAGAAGACCGTCTGTCAGTCCACATTAAGTCCTTTACTAAATATATTTTATTATATATTAATTATATTGCTACATTATAGCATAATTTATTTTATTATTAACAATTTGGTAGCCATTATTTGAATTCATTTTTGCCGAACTCCTTGCATTTATTATATTAGGTTATTGTTATAAATTTTTGAGTTATTATTGACTTATCATAGATTGATATGAATAAGTTGATGATGATGTATAGGCAATAGCTTAAAGTTAATTAAAACATTTTAAATATTTTTTTTTATAATTAAATCTAATAATATACGTCATGAAAGCTCAATAGTTTTCACAAATAATATTTTTGAATTCTAAGAAAAAACTAAAATCATCATTCTTTGTTTAAATATCCGATTTTGTAAAACTTTGATCTTTAAATACCTGTCAAAAAAATTGTGCTCAGCTCATATGTTTTTGGATTACACTGGTTACAGTAAAAACTATATTATATTTATATTATTAACAAGCTGACCCGGCAAACGTTGTTTTGTCATATAAATTATATCTAATGAATATTTTGGTATTCAAATAAAAAATAATTAAATTATTGTAAGTGAGAGGGAATTTCGTATACTGGTATATGACTGAGATGAATGGTGCACTGTGAATGATGACGATCCATAAAAATAACAAAACACCAAATATCCTCACCGCCATAAAGTAAATTTGTAAAAATGTATATGGTTCGTTTGGCATTGGTAGCAATGAGCCCACTCTATGATAAACTTGGCCTTTGATTTTGAATGTTGAATTAAATTGTTGACCATTTGCAGCATTATTTTTAACTATTTCTGTTGCTCCGAACGATGTCATTTGGAAACATAAATTGAATGTTCGAATTGAATTCAGGAACAGGTTAGAATCTGGATCCGTACTGATAAGTAAACCGTTCAATGGTTCAGGTGGTGTTTCAATTTCCGGTAGTTAAAATCGGTCATAAAAAACTATATTATATTTATATTATTAATAAATTATTTTTCAAGATAATTTTTGTTATAAGATAGGTAAATAAATGATAATTATTGTTAGTTATTAGTAAAGAGCGGATTTTTAGGTTCTTAAAAGCTTAAAATATGATGCTAATATGTTCTAAAAAAACCCTAAAATATTCTCTAAATATTCCTTAAACTTGTAAATATGCAGATAATATGATTTGTTTTTTTTTCCAAAATAATTCAATTAAAACAATAAATAACTTATGTACCATTCATTTTTGGTAACATATAAAATATTTAACTATAAAAAATACAAAACAGTTCATAGGTATATGAATATAATGAAATCTATTATATAAAAACAATATATAACTTGTATGGCCTTTAGTGACAGCTAAGTTATTTAACTATAAAATATAAATCAGTTCATACTTAGTTACCTTTATAAATATAATGAAATATTAATAAAAAAACAAATAAAATGAATAAAAACAAAATTAGTTCATACTTAGTTACCTACTAAACTATATCACCATCAGTCGTAAATACTGTATCATTTATTTTATTATACGGCTCTATCCACTGTTTATGTAAATATCTTAAACTTCTGTTAATTTTCGGTATTTAAAAAAAATAAAAATGAATATTACAAATTTAACTAAATCGTCAGACATTAAAGTTAAAATAATAAACAATATAAAAGTAAAAATATATTTATTATTAGAAATCATTCTTATCACGTTATTTTAAGATCGTAAGTACAATCATGGATGAAGAGTAACAGAATGATCATCATTACCAATTTGATTACAAACAAGTAGATAATTGGATGATTTTTAATTTTTATCATTCTTATATAAAATAATTTTTTTGTTGCTGGAAAATATCACAAATCGATAAATTAATAATGTATAATATGATTTTTTATGAACAATAATAGAATATATTCTAAAATATGAAAAATAGGCTAAATATTCTCTTAAGTCAAAAATATGCTTTAATATGCTAAATAAATTTTTTCCTACGAACTCTGTGATGGATAAGTCGTCCACATTTTTCACTCTCATAAAGCTGCATAAAACCAATAAAAATATGTAAAAACTTAAAAATCCGCTCTCTAGTTATTACTAAGTCCGAAGTAAGACCTAGAGTGACTCAGGGGCGGATACTTGCAGGTTATGGGCTCCACTAGCTGTGCCCTCAATCATCGATGGAAAAATAATGCAGTACTGTACTTCTGTGCTTATCCCGGTTTGAATATAAAATAAATTGACCTTATCGGCGTAGAAATAATCTTATAATTATTAACTGTTAAGAAGTAATATCAGTAATATAACACTAACTAATTAATAATTATACAGAGGTATAAAAAACTTATACAATGTTATTATTTTTTTTTTAAATAAAAGTAAAATGCCAAAATAACCTTTTTCTCTTTTAAATACATATATCTTAAGTTTAAATACGCGTTAAATTAATATGATTTCAATACTTTATAGTTCATACTTGCATAAAATATCATTCATAATTATTTAAAAATATAATGTGTAATGACACAGAACTAATATTTTAAAACAATAAATATAAGCACTTATTATTATTATAGAATATTATATACAAAGTACCTATATTGGCTATACCATAGTAATATTTTCAGTGGTAGCGAAGATTAATTATTTTGATTATAAATAATACATAGAAATTTCAATCTGCTGCTCAATCAAAACATATTTTTTTAGCAATTCTGTGGTATATTATGCATACCTACAGGAATTTACTGATTCTATCGAAATATTCAGTTTTCAAAGAAATTTTAGATATATATTCTACTGTTTATGTTACATTATTATATCTATCAATTCCGAATAATTATATTTAATTATACGATTTATACCTATACGTAATACATAAACTAAATTCCTATAACAAATTATAAATAAACGTGTATGCAATTATTGCAATTTTTACAAGGAACCCTATGAATAATATAGATAACAGCATTTTCTCGGGAAACTGAGCACCATAATCAGTAGCACCGTTCGTAATCTGACTACAGTTAGTGCGAGATAAATACGATGCTTGTCCTAAATGGCAAGACACGTTTCGTCGAAATTTCGTTACACTATAAATATACATAGTAGCGGATTTAAGGAGGGGGTGCTTGGAAGCTGAACTGTTGTATTTTTATTAAAAATTAGGTACTAATAATTCGCCAAGAGGCAAACTTTTGGTACGGGCTACCAGAACAAAAAATTACATTGTAATACATTGTATTGTGATGTACTTTATTATTAAAAAATAATATATGTTAAATTGTTTATAATTTTTATATTGCTAATTATATAATAAATTTAATAAATTCAAAATACATGTACAATGCAAGACTAGGTTTCCTCGCTGTTTAAGTACCAAATTATGATTTGTTTTCCCTCAAATTGTACATAATAAGTACTTGAGGAATATTATTAATAAAATAGCATCCACCATAAAAAAATCCTAAATTCACCACTGAGTATGAACATAATTTTTAGTTTAATATGGTAAGTTATAATGTCAATCTGTATAAGTATACAATATTCGTTAAAAGCACTTTAAAATTAAAATTTTAGTCGATGTATTTATGATACATTCAATAAAAATACAAAAAAATCGATTTCTACTTTTAAGTGAGTTTAGTACAATAGTACATTACAAAAACTTCAAATTGACTTCAGAATTCTTACCGCTTCACTTTTAATTGCAGGTAGGTATGTTGAAAACATAACACATTTAAATTCTTATATTGTATATATTTTGTATATTATAGGTACCTCTTATGCATGTGTAAATGTGGTAGATAAAAAAGAAAATTGTCATAAACGACAATGTTATAATTTATTTTTATTCAAAATAGTGTAACGATAAAACAAATATTACTGTCTTGCAGATGGAAGATTTATGAATGATTTTTTTTGTATCACAATTTCTTACTGTGCTATCCATCATGCTACCTTAAACCTTTAATACCTATCGTTGTTATTTACTTATACCACAGTATGAAATCTAGATTTTAAATGACATTTTTTTATTGAAGTAACCTTTTCAAGGCTAAAATAGCTAAATAATACTTAAATTATATTGTGTCTAATATTCTAACTTATTAATTATTATTATAATTATCTGGGTTAGTTCGGCCTTACATATTATTCAATTATTATGTACTGCTTAATATTTATGTAAATTAACATTAATAATAATTTAATTAAGTATATAAATTACCAATATTGAATATTATTGTTATTGAAATAGAATTATAGAACCTACAGTCGTCCGCAGTCTTCGTCTACATCGATACAATGCGCAAAAATTTAAAATACACGTAGCCACGTAAGTACCTTGGCTTATGGGTTAGTGAAAACTTAGTAATTTTATTACGCCGTAAACACTGGGGAAAAAAACAATTGTAAATTGTTTGCGATCTGATGGGCATTTCGTGATGGAGAAAAAAATTCAGAAGCGGCCCACCCGACAGAGCGGCTGACTGATAACACTGGTCGGCAGGTGGCGGTGGCAGCGGCGGCGGCGACGGCGCAGTGGTGCCACCCGGGGCGACCGCAGTTCAGTGATCCGACGGGGGCCATGAACACAACCGCAGACGTCGAGCCCAGCCGCGGTCCAGTCGAAGATGTAATCAAAAGGCTGACAAGTCGAAAAATTGGATCGCTGGTGCCGTTGTCGTCGTCGTCGTTGTCGTCGTTTGCGTTTACGGTGAGTTTGGCCATGGTCTGTCCGAGACTGGTTCCAAGGTAATGTGCCACTCGTCTGTTGGTCGGTCGCCTTTGTCCAGTCGCCGTGTTCTTAGGACTGCAAGGGTAACGGTGGACAGCAGCCGTGGATACTAGTGAAGAGACTTGTCCACGGAGGTGGGTTGCTGGTCATACTTACTCAAGTCGAGTATGTTGTGTACGATCGCATATGCGTGTGTTTGTGTGAGTGTGTGAAATATTTGTACGAATGTGTACAGACTTGTGTGTGTATATGTGAATATGTTTGTATACTATGTAGTGTGTGTGTGAGCGAGCAAGCAGTTGGTTAGTCAGCCGAGCCGTGGTTGTGGGTGTCGTACAGCCATAAGACTTGAAAATGTGTTTACACATGTTTCCGTACTTGTGTCAAATGTTGTACAAGTCACAACAACCCTGTCCCTCACTTCAGGTCACTGGCCTTGTGATTAACGTTTTGTTCACTTTCAGACTATTTGGTAAAAAATTTTAGTTGTTTGTTTGGAATAAAATGTATTGTATGTATGCCCATTTTGTATATCTACTGTAACTAACGAGTAGACTGCTCAATCGACTAGTTAGAAAATCCTTGTTATCGTTGTTAGATAATTAATACACTTGGATAGTTTTTAATGATAATGAATTATTTGCAGGGTTCTTCGACAATGAATAGCTGACAAAATGTTGCAGATCAAAAAAGAATCCGTGAGAAATTTTTGTTTTTAAATTATAATTAAATTAGAATCTAGAATTGTTTTCTTGAAAATAACATCAATGTTATCAATTAAACGATAATAACTATAATCTATTAAGGAAAAGAAAATATTGAACATTTTATGTGTTTAAATTAACATTTTAAAGTTATTTTTAAAAATTATTCTGAAATCAAATCTAGACAATGAAAAGTCTATTATAATATTGGTACATTTAATATGTAAATATTATTCAATATTCACTTATATCTATTGTAATTTTAAGGATAAATTGTATCAATAACACACTTGGCTCATATACAATCGGTTTTTGACCACTTGCTGTTTTATTAGTTATATATTGATTGAATTATGGTTATTTCAACTTATCAAAAAAAAAAAAAAACATAAAATTACATTTTTACATTTTTAAAACAAGGTATAGCATTTTCCTAAATAAATAATTTTTCGTTTTCAATAAGTATCAGTTTAAAATTCAATCAATTCTGATAATATATATTTAAATTTATGTACCATGTATACTTCTTGATAAATTTAATTTTAGCATTATTGATTCAAGACAATTATTTGGGAGATAACATTTATTAATTCTTTAGATTTAACCCATGATTTAGATATAGGTACTTTAGTACTTTAGGTACTTTAGTATACTTTTTAAATTAATTTCACTTAAAAAGATTTATTTAAAAGTATAATTGATTTTATTCTTATCATTAACATTGTATACTTTTTTTTTTAGATAAAAAGGGAGAGCCCCGAGGCTCCCACTCCTGATAGTACAACTGTTGAAAGCAAGAGTTATATTTGTGGAGAAGAAGTATTGGTTCATTTAAATGATGAACGATTTTATTTAGGATTTATAGCAAAAGTAAATGATATTTAATTATATGTTTTTCAATTAAATTAATATTTTTGTTAACTTTTAGTTAAGGTATAAAGAATCTAAATGCTTAGTTAAGTTTGGCGATAATACAGTAAAATGGGTATTCTTAAAAAATGTCACACGAATGACATGTACAAGTACGACTACCCAATTTTGCAATGTGTGCAATATCGAGGCTATGCCAGATGATATTTGTGTATGTGATAAATGTGCTAATGTATACCATCGTAAATGTCACAAGGTAAATATAATTTTTATATTATAAACTAATATGCATAGTTAATAACAGTAAATAAATAACTATTGAATTTGTTTATTGGCTTATAAGTAATTGAGACTAAATCTTTAAAATTGTTGGAAATATGTATTTTATCAATATATGTCCTGTATTTTATATCATACAATTAATAGAATGTACCTAATAACGTGGTGTAATAATGCAATATTTCTTATATATTGTAATTTATTGCTATTTGTCAGATTCATAAATTTTTATACTTTGTTTTTCAATAGTGTTAATAAAATTGACTGCTCCATTTTGGATTGGTTTAAATTAATACTTCTTTTATAATTGTCTTATTTTAAAAAAAAAAAACAATCAATTTTAATTAATTCAACAATAAACCATAGTTATTTAGTAATAGGTATGTAGGTATTAATGTGTAGGATAATGATTGTTTTATTAAACTGTTATTATTTATTTCAAACTAATATTTAATCACATATTATTTTTAAACTTATTTATGCTAATGCATTCTATATTATCTGTTAAAATTATTTATGAAAATAGGGTTTGATGAATAATGAATTTATTTTTTTTTTTTAGCCAGAAGTTGAAATTCCAGATGTTAGTGTATGGATATGTTTCCAATGCAAGGAAAAACAACAGATTAATAGACTGCAAGTTATAAACTCTGTATCAAGCACAATTGTTCCAAAACCCGTTAAACTACCTTATGATGTAAGTTTTCTGTGCTAATAAGATTGTAAATACTTTTATTAGTTACCTCTAGGGCTTAGATCTATATTCTGTTTTAAAAAATGTATTGAAAATCTTACATCTCAAGTAATATTTTGAAAAATAAATTTTGATGAAATAAGTAAATAGTAAACTATACTAAGTGTATGAGTTTGACGTATGTATTTTAATTATATTTTTATAAGTTTATGCAAAATGATTGAAAATAATACTGCTACCATTCTCACATGTACCTGTAATCAATTATAATATGGAATAATTATTTAAAAAATAATAATTTATTATTTATTTTACTTACATAAAAAATAAAATATGAAAACTCATGAAACAATTTACAAAAAAATGTATTTGAAAATTGACCACTCATGTTGTACTTTCCTAGTATTTTCAGTATTGTTGTATTTTAACAAAAACACAATAATAAGTAGGAGTCTTATTTAAATTCAGATTACTTGATGTTACTATACATGACAAAAATATTATATATGTTTAAATTTCAATCTTAAACTTATTATTATTTTTTTTTTTTTTTGTCATACTGTATAATAGGTTAGAAATTAAAAAATTGCAACACATTTTAATAGATGATTAAAAAAAATGTAAAATATACCCTGAGAAAACTTTATTGTTAGAATAATCTGTATTTTGAACACATTTGTAGCTTTTTAGAAAGTCCTTTAAAATAAAATGCAAATACATTCAAATTCAAGTCTTAGTTGTCATCTTAGTTCTTTACTAAAATTAATTATTTTTTTTTAGTTAAATGCTTTACAGTGGGACATACATCATCGTATTAACAATTTAGGAACCTATTGTTATTGTGGAGGACCAGGTGACTGGTTTATTAATATGCTGCAATGTGGTAAATGTTTACAATGGTTTCATGAAAAATGTGTCTCTTCATTGATATATCCTCTGTATCTCGGTGATAGGTAAGCTATACTAATCTGTTTGAATATAATTATTTGTAAAAAACTTTTTTTATGTATAATTAATATAAAAACTAGTCATTTTCTATATATTGAATTTATATTCTGATAAATAACTAGTTATTTATATTAAGTTAATATAATAAAACTTAATTTAAGTATTATGTTAAATGTTTAGTTTCATATGGTTATTATTACTAATTTATTTTTAAATAATATAAGTTTTGGTCATAGAATCACAAATGGTTAAATAATTTAAATTTTACTAGGTATAACATTAACTTTTTACTTAATTATAATAGGTTAATAATCTAATTTTTAAATTTATTTAAATTATTATTTTAACTATTTATTTTTTGATTGAATAATGCAATCTTATTAAATTTTAATTATTTATTTAAAATATTTTTGTTTCAGGTTTTATGTCTTTTTGTGCTCAGTGTGCAATGTAGGTACAGAATTTGTACGGCGCATTGAAATGGAATGGTCAGATTTAGTTCATCTTGCCCTTTTTAATATGACTGCTTATAAACCACAGAAATATTATGATGTGGACTTAAATATTCTTCCATACTTAGATAACCATTGGACTTCAATGTATCTACCTCCTAAAGTATGTTTGATTTTAATACAATTTATAGTAAAATTTAGTCATCAATATATAGTTATAAGGGATTAAAACTCATTTTCCAATTAAATATAAATATAGTTATATTAAAATACTTTTGGAAAATGTATCATGCTATTATATTATAGGTATTACATTTTTTTTATAGATTCTTAATGTTCCTGTTGATGACAGGAAAGTTTATGTTGTCAATTCCCTGCTCAAAGACACCAATCAGTTAGTATATAATTTGAATAAATAACTAACATAGATCATAGTACCTTTTAGTTTTAAAAAAGATGATAACTAACAGTTAATATATTTTATTAATTTCTTTGTATTATATTATCTATTAAATTTTGATTATTTATATAAATATATTTGTCTGTTTTATAGTAGGTTTGAATTCCAGGGTAAAAAACCCACCAACATGTGGGGACTCCGACTGAAGTTGCCACCTAAACCCCCACGTTTCACGTTACCTGCAGAAGTTCCAATTAATGAAAATCTTTTGCATCACCAATTGCGCAATAAACTTAACCTCAGTATATTACCACCTCCAAAAAAGTAAATATTTTAATATAAAAAATTCTTATATATATATAATATTATATGATCTATGTTTTTAAATAATCAAAAAATTCTGTTGATTTATTTTTTAATTCCAAATAAATTAAAATTTATAGAGCTTAATAATAATAATTATTTCTATATTAATTAAGATAAAAAAAAATTGATTAAACAATTTTGTCCTCTAAATTAGTTTTAATAAAAATTTTTAAACTAGTGATGATATTTGATATTATCATTGCCTTATTTCAATTAGTCACATCCTTTATTCACCTTATTGAAAAAATAAGTTCAATAAAGCTGTTATTTAACTAGTTTTTTATTTTAATGTTGTACCAATTATCACTAATTAAAATTAAATCTAAAAGTTTTCATTTCATTTAAAAATATCTAGGGTTTTTGAATCAGTTTTTTTATAGTATAATACTAAGCATATGTTTAACATGATAATCCATTTGATTTATATTATTTTAGGACTGATTTTGTAGTAAATGAACGACTTACCGAGTCAATGTATTCTGTGGAAGGATTGAAATTTTTACATCAAGATTCACATGTTGTTATGTTACCAAAAGGCCTTCCATCAGTTGGACATAATGTAAGTATTGAATCCTTTTTTATTTATATAAAAAAATGATAAATAAATTTGCTATGTTGATTTGTCATACATTATAAAATATTTTGTACCTTCTAATAAACCAAAGACTTAAAATTTGAATTATTAAAAATGGACATTTTGCAAAAGTAGGAATTTCCCTAATTATTTTCTTCTTATTTATTTTATTTTTTATTCTTGAGGGAATGTATGATTCCCTTAAGAATTCACTTTCCTAATATCTTGATCTATAGATACATTAACTAACATAAGTTTATTGTTTATCTATATCAGTGGTTTTCAGCTTTTTTAACTATGCAACACACTCGATCTCCTAAAAACTTTTTGTAGCACACCAATTCATTCGATTAATGATTTAGTCAATCTTTATTAATCATCAATTTTTACTGAATATCGATAATAATACAGATTAAATACATACTTATGAAACTATTAATAGATTTATTGTAGCACACTGGTTGAAAACCACTGATCTATATCAATTAAAGTTTAAAATTTATAGCATAGACTAATAATACTTTAAATCAAATTATCACTTTCTCAAAACTAAAATATTATCTTTTTAATCACTTTATCATGTTATTTTCAATTCATTCTTGTAGTCAGTTTGATTTGAATATTATATGCATGAAAACAAGATATAATAATATACACTAAATTAATAACTTTAATTTTAAATCTGTATGATTAATTTTTTTAGAATTGTAACATAATAATTAAAATTGCTATTAGAAAAATTGTTTTTTATTTGTAAATAGTTATTTTTTGTTAAACTTTAGTTGATATTGCTTATTTTATTTTTATAATTTTCTATATAACAGTGTTTTTAATGCTTTTTTTAATTCTCATATTTATGTATCTTAGGTATGTATTAAAAGTGCCAGTCCAATTGTACCTGTTCCAAGATCTGTTATTGAAAGACGGATTAGGCAACAACAGATAGAGACAAATAAACGAAGTTCTCGAAGTTCGAGTGTGATTACGAATAAAGTTAAAGTAATGTTTGTTTAAGTTATTGTTTAACTCAATATAATTTATTTTCATTTTTAGAAATCAATAAAAAAAGAAAAAGTTCCTGAAAGTCGATCACCATCGCGTTCAACTGAGAGTACTCCAGAAAAATATATATCTGCATCTGAAGAAGAATTGACTAGTGAAGACGAACCAGATGATGATGAAGACCTTGATGACGAAGATGATATTGATTTGTTACGTACAACCGATCTTCAAAGTCGCCGTAGTCAGAGACTTAGTGTCAATCGTTTATTAAATGGGCGACCAACACTTCCACGTGAGACTCGTTCTGCTTCATCAATTACTTTGCCACTTTCTTTAGCACCTGTAATTACTCAACCACAAGTTCGCACTACCAAACGACGTTTAAGTGAAAAAGATTTGCGAGTTGATCGTAATGGACAATATTTAGTTAAACGTAAGAGGTTACGCCGGAATGGCTTACAGAATAGCGGTTCAACTCCAACTAAACGCCAGTCTAAGACCAACTGTAATGGTCGTCCAATATATAAATCGTATTCAGATTTTTTTGCAAATCATAGTCACTCTGTAAATAGACCTTGTTCACCTGAGAATGCTGTAGATTCTACAGCTGATCTTAAAACTCTTGTACATTCGTATTTCGGTGCTAGTAATAGGATTGCTAATGGTGAAGAATATACTATATTATGTAAAAGAACTAACCCAGATGGGTCAGAAGAATTTTTAATTAGATGGGATTAGTGTATTCTATTATAATCATAAACATAACAATATTGTTTAATTAACGTAAATTTCAAAATTCCCATAGAAGAAAAATAAAATGTTAATACATTTTGATTACATGATTTTAATGATTGTGTTAGTTGTTATGCTTTAACATTCTGTTACTATTACCAAACTTGGTATTCTGCTGTTATTATCAACGTTCCTGATTTGATTTTTAATTTCCTATTCATAGCTATTGTGATGAGAGTTGTATTAAATTTATATTGTTTTAATCAATATATTTCCCGGATGGAATGTTGGCAATGATTAGTTGATACAAAATGATTCCTATATTATATTAACACATGTCAATATAAATACATAGGAAATGGCTCAGTTTTATCCATTAATATGCAATATCAAAGCACATAATTTATTCTTAATAGATTGTCTGTTGGATATTGTTTTTAAGAATAATGGCCTTATTTCAACTTTTTGACAATTGTCATAAATATTATGCCTATAATAATTTCCTACTACTTATTAATTACTTTCATAAGATAGTGAATGTGTATGGTCGCACAAGATTTTAAGTGAATAATTTAAATCAAGCGAGTGTAAAAAAGAACAAGTTGTATTTATCATTATTATTATATATTTTTTAACATAAATTGTGTTCATATTTATAGTCTAGTGATAGCTATGGTAATTTTTTGGGTAAAATTACCTCATCACATTGTACTGGTCCTCAACCCATCCCATAGTATGTAATTTTTTTAATTTTTAATTTTAAACTTTTTCTTAAAAAGTTAACCTAATTGAGTATTTAATCATTGGTTAATATATATTCATAGTTCTAATAATGGTACATTTATTTAATATAAAATTATGGTAAATTTAATTAGAAAAAATTATTTATGATTTAGGGGTGTAATTCAATTGTTTGTACCTATATTGATGGGTTATCTAGTATCATGTAAATATATTTAGTGTAATTTTTACCTATGAAACATTTTTAATTTTAATTGAAGTAAAGAGTTGTATGCGTTAAGACTGAAACATGTGTCCAAAACGTGAAAACGATTATTTCTGGTAGTGGTTTTAAGGTCGTGGCATTCGAGAACTTTAAAAATAAGTGACATTTTTTTTATGGGTAGTTATTATAAAATGTGCTAGTGTTTTGTTTATACATTCTATGGGTTTGAAATTGTGCTGTAGATCTCGAATTTTTTTTTTTTTTAATGCATATGTTTTGTTATGAATTTTATTTCTTATAATATTGAAATTTTCAACATTTAGGGAAATGTCATAAAGATACACTCTCATCCATTTTTAATAATTATTCTTAAGAAACATTTAAATTTGTGATGATTTTTTGATATTTTTCTTTACAAATAATTTCATTCAAAAAGTACAATTTTTTGCCATACTTATTAAGCTCGGTCTATTAGTATTTAAAACAAATAAATATATATTTTTTTGTATGAAGGGATATTTTTTATATTACAGATTTAAGTACAAATACAGTAACTATTTGAAATATCTATTCAATATTAATCAATGTTCTTTTATGTAAAATTATCAATGATTAACTATGTAAATTATCACTGCCATTGAGATGACTGTTAATTATATCATTTAGAATTACAATTTTGATTTGGCTGCCTGAAATTAAAATTTTTAAAATTTTTAATTTTTTTTCGACATAAAGATGATGCATGTTCCTATAATTATTATTTTTCAATAAAAATATATTTTAGTTCTCATACATAGCATGAATTAATCCAAACTCAATATTATCTTTAATAGTTTGTAATGAATTTATTATCTATTTTTAATCATGTATGTTAATTAAGTCTGCAATGTTGCTATATAATTTAGAACGAATTATTTTTATTTTTTTTTTTATTTAGCTCCATCTTAATATTATATTAATTAAAATGTTATACATAGTCATGTAACCTTTTATAGATGAGAGATACTTTTTCAGAACCCAATAAATCTTAATGTGTGATGAAGTATGATTATTTATTTATTATAATAACAATAATTCTTGTCTTTGTATTAAAAAATATTGTTTCAAAGGAATTATGATATTTAATTTTAAAGGAATATTTATTAATTTATAAATATGTATGTATGTTGTATGTATATACATTTATATACATTATTATGTGATTGTATGTATTTTTAATAGAATTTAAGAAAGGCATTTGCGAAATTGAAATACAAGTTTTTTTTTTTATACCTAATGAATTATTCAAACTAAAATAACATATATTTATTCTGTGTTTTATTTATTTCTGAAATATGAGTAAATCAAATAGTGATTTTACGATGTGAAAATATATTTTTTTTACATTAGTAATTGAAAAGTATTAAACAACAATGTTGTTACAACATTATATTCCTGTTTGTAAATGGACAGTTTCTGACTTCTGTATTACTGTATTTTACTTCAGAATAACCAATACAATTTTATAATTCTTTAATTATTTTTAGTTCAATTTTTTCTGTAAAGTTATCATAAAACAGCACTGTTTCTATCGAACTAAACTTATTTTATGTAACATAAAAATAAGGAAACGGATATGATATCTTGATAAATATGTTATTGATTTGTTATTAACAACTAGGTGTATTTTGAAGTCTGAAATTAAACCATTTTCAATATTTACACTTGTTTTAATAAAATATTTTGTGATTAAAATTATTGAATGTAATATATATTCTATACTTACATTATACTTGGTCCTTAAATATTTAGGTATGCATGTACACTATATTATAGGAACATATAATTGAGAAATAAATTAAATTTTAATATAAAAATTGAAGATAGTCTTGACATATCAATAAGTCCTAGGACAAAACTACAAAACTTTTGATTAACGTTTTAGTCGTATACTTTCTTTATTATTATTATGATATAACTTATAAGTATGTAAATTAAAATCTATTATTTTAATTATTTTATGATTTTATATCGATAATGTATACATAATAAACCAAATTCTTAAAAAAAAATGTATCATTTAAATTTATTTTTATCGTAACAATTTTGAATATCATGAATCATGATGTAAACAGTATCCTACTTAATAATAACTTAAGTTTTTCTATCTACTTATATTAAGCTTTTATTTATTTGGCCGTTGACTTACAATATGTGGTCTACCGCAAAAAGTGTTCTACCGGCCGCTGTGCTCCATTTCCGGTAATGTATATTATGTGGTCTACCCAGTGATTTTCGTGCGGCTTCTAATAAAGTCACTGATAAAATAACTTGATTTTTTTTTTTTTAAATTCTATAGATAAAATATATGATCTTACGTGTTTTGCGGCAAAAATACGTAAGCATTAGGTACAGTTGTAGCACATCTCCACTAATATTGCGTTGACGTCTCACGTTTACAAAATATTAATTTATTTGATTATCGTCACTATCGATTGTCTGTCACTACTCATTTAACTCGAACAAATCTCATATCAAACAACGAGAATTTGAGGTGCCATAAATGTGGACATGTAGAGAGGAATTGTAGCAGATCCACCGTATGAATAGGTATAACAACACGACAGTTGCTTACGCCTTCCCTCAAGTCAATCGGTTGGAAAGTTCATCAAGTAACAGTGCGCTGCATTCTCCTACATAGTATATATCTACCTAGGTACATGAATACTCAATATGGTGACATATTTTTTCGATTGACTTCATTAATTTACATAAATATATTCAAAACTAATCGATTTCAGCAGATATATTTGGTAGAATCATTGCAGTTGTCGAGCAAATTCAAGTCCTATAAAGGTAGGTATTGTAAAACGTTAGGCGTCTACATTTGTTTTTTAGAAGTCGGTACTTGTCTACTTAATTAATTATTACGTATACCTATTAGTATTGTACACACCAATTAGGTTTTGGTATAAAACCTGACATACGCTTTTTTCCGTTAAAACATAACGACAATAATATGATATTTAACAACACTTATAATATAAACCTATACAAATATATAATAGATAATATCTCATATAGTCGAATATTGTCGGCGTGAAATTTTTTCCACTATCATGCACGGTCCCCCCACACGACACACATTCATCTAATTTAAACGATTGGTACCTACTGAGAAATGATTGGCATTTTTAGAAGACTAACCATTAATTGCTTATGCCCGTTTTAATTCGTGATGTTTAGTAAATATTAAATTCTACCAAGTACATATTTAGTGAAATTACTTATTAACAACTCTAGTTAACTACATAATTAAGACAAAACTTATTGAACACCGTTAAACTATTATTAGTGACTGTAGTGTATCTACTCGTTATTTGTACGTATAGACGTATAGTAAGTATAAGTCATTTACTAAAATATTATATAATTTATATTATACGGGCGTGTTGTAGGTACGTAGGTACGTATAAAAATGTATACCTAATGCGTGCGCATATTTCAGTATTTGCCGTAGCCAGAAATTTATTTCATGAGGAGGCACTAATTAGTAATTTTACTAATTGAGTAACTACGCCAATGTACGTATACATTATATTTGTAACGACAACCTGTCTTTAAAATATTAGACTAGATTCCATAACATCGTATTATTATTCCATTTATATTATAATACGACTATAAACGCATATAGGTACTCTGCCACACGCTTGGGTCACAATGATAATACATTTAATAATGTTATTATCGATACGATATTATAATAATATTATATGCGCTGGGAATATGGCTCGGTTTCGAATAAATAATAGTAAATCCCGAGGCGTGCCTTAAATTTAATTGAGAACTCGTTATTATAGTATACAGGTGTATATATTGTATTCATAAGTACCTGTAGACTTGTCCAGTGCAGTATACGAATAATATATAATATTATATTATTATGCGTGTGGCGTGTGTGCACCTACTGCGAAATATATATATTTACATTTGCTTCCTACACAGTGTCTATTATAATACTTGCCTGCCATCCTTTGGTCATGAAGCAATAGGTGCGCATGTACATCGTCTCCCGAAGATCCCCGGCAACTGCCAACTCTTCGATGTGATACAACTATCGTACGAATAGAAATCGAGAAATTCAGAGATATAATGTGTTTGCGAATAAAACTTAATTTTTATGCGCAATTGTGTAAGTAAACCTATGCGCATGTTGTACCTACACAATATTACAACCGTGCAGATGTTCTTCCTCTACTTGTTTTAAGATTGTGCGCGCGCGCGCGTGCTTATTGCTTACACAGCGTACGTATAGCCCGTATAGGTATATAATATATTATTACATGGTAACTCCGCTATTGTACTAGTTGATGTCTCCGCGAGGAGGCTTATCGGATATCGAGAGCTTATTGAAAATTTAGCCGAAATAGGTAGTACACATTGTTTTTGCTGTGCCTACAATCGCAATGTAAAAATTTATATAAATAAAAGCTATAGAATAATTTTAATATTTGAAATTTTATCGAGTAGTTGTGAACCTCGTGATTGAACTTTTATTAACACTATCCTATATGTTTTCGGCGTGGGTAAAATGTATACGTATTGAAATGGTCCATAGGTAGGAATGTATCTCGGTTATACTTATCGAATATTTTATGATCGCAAAACATTTGTATTTTTTGGTTTGACTGTAAGCGTTGTATATATCGTATAATAATATAACAAAGATGTAGATCAAATTTGAACTTATTTACCTGCTATTATAAGTAATGGTTGATTATAATTTATGATATGTTTATGATAATCTACAAACTGCCCACTGAATGGTTTAAAGAAACAGTCTTCGTACATCATAAATAAACTTATAAACCGATGGATTTAATTTTTAAAACTCCATGTTTTCGGTCTTGCACACTTTAGAATTATAAAAAAGAGTTTACTTGATTTTTTTGTGCTTCGTTTGTAATTTTAATGTCAACCTCTTCACAGGCTATTTAACTTTTATAGTTATGGTGATGGTGGTACATAATACTAGCTCGCGCGTCACAGAAATCCCAAAACAAACTTATATTCCATTTGTTTTTGCTTTTAATCCCGTTGTATGTACTTAACCGTCTCAACCTTTTCCCGAGCTATAAAACTTTAAAATTAATGGACTGAAATAAATCCCCTGTTACTTTTCTTTGTATTGCCATTATAGGCATCACAATTCGATTTACAGCTATCTGCATTTATTGAACGTTCATGATTTTCTTTGTATAGATCCTCGGAAAGCAAAATATTTGATAGGTATATTTAATCTGTGCAGTTTTAGATATTTATTTTTTATTTTTTTAATGTAAATCTTTCATCATTTATGTTTCTCCTCTGGGACATTTTGTCACAAACATAACACGGGACAATTGTCTTCAAATTATTCATATTTACAAAATTTTTTTGAGTGCTTGATCGATTGCGACTACCTATTTCACGGGGATTTACTATAAGCCTTTATAAAAGCTTTGGGTGCACACAAAACAGAACCAAACGCTTTTATACAAAGTATACTTTTATGATTTGTTCCGGAAATAAACTGTTGGTTATAATATTTTTGTTTCTGTTGTATTTTGTATCATATTGATCGCAATAATAATATAGCCTATAGGTAAAAAGATTTTTATTTTAAGCACGCGATGTATTATGTTTTTTTTTTTTTTTATCATGATGTTACTAGCGCCGCCGTCGTGTTGCACGGTTGAATGCGAATTAAAGTAATTTTCTGGTCTTAACCCGTTAATAGTGGTTTTTTATCCCCCAAAGACTAATTACTTCATGGCCGTATCTTGCACATAATTTTTACCGGCATGAGTGTTTATATAGTTAGTAGAAGGAGAAGAAGGATCATACAAAGATGTTTTACGAAAAAAAAAAATCATACTTGGTACAAAAATAATTTTAAAGATAATTCAGAGGTCTTGGGAAATCGGAACTCCCCGCCATCGGGATACAGCCATGAATCACATTAGTTTTACACGCGTATAAATATTCAAAACTCGTGTGATTTCAACGAAATAATTTCGTATCTAGGTGCATACATAATACATTTATGTGCATACACGAGTTAATGTATACTGTTTGATAGGTATTAGAGACGTGCGGATTATTTCGTGTACCTACTATGTACACGTTACGTCAAAACGGATTAAAATCAATAAAATATACAGAATTTATAAATTATTGTTACGTGTTTGAAGGTGTGTGTATAGCTTAGTAGGTAGTAAATAAAGAAAAAAAATTCAAGTGTACGCGTCGTTCAGATCTAAAACGGTTTAAATGTCCACCATGTGAAGTGAACGTATTGTAATTTATTGATTATCATAATCAAATTTGTCCGTACAATCGTTTTAAATAGATATTACGCCGTAGAAACGATGTGTAATCTGTATAATAATTATTCATCAGTAATTAAACATCGAGGTTTTGTAAAGAGAGAAACAGGATCTATTTGTATTTTCATAAATATTCAAATCACTCAAAAAATAAATTTCAATTAGCTTTACTCTTTAGTTTATTTTTCTCACGGATAAAAAAATTAATACACTAAATATTGTATTTAGTAGTAGTTTTTAATATTATAAATTGTAAAAACTAACAATGTCCAAACATTTTTTATATTTTTAATGTTTTTAAATTTACTAGGTACTTACATATTATATTTTTTTAAATACGGATTTATTTTTTTTCATTATTTTACATAAACTATTATTATTTTAATTAATAAAAACATCAACCATCTTCATGTGGTACACTGATATAAAAACGTATTTTTGTAGATTTCTACAAAACATTTATATTCCGGACAAGTGATTATTATCTCTCCTGTAATAATCGTCTTTAATAGTTAATATCAGTGTTTTAAGACTTCAATTTAGAAATTAATTAATTGAAATAAATTACGGGTAGGTATATCTAATGATACAATATACATGCATTAGGTATTATCTACGATCGTCAATAATGTGTACCTACCTATAAAAGATAAAATACGATGTTAGTACTTTCTAGTTAATCATTTCAACATTTATTTCGATTACAAATGAATTTTTTTTCAGGATTTAAAAAAAAAAAATGTTTTTTGATATAGGTAAAAATAATAATTATTGATAAAATATTAAAAATTATGCTGAAAATGTGAATAACTAAAATGTTGTTAGATCAAATCTAAAATGGCCAAAATTATTAAATAATGAAGAATAAAATGTATGTATTTTTTAATTCTATGATATATAAATCGAATTTTGTGATTAGAAAGCATTGTTTTAGAACTTGCAAAAAATAATTAAAAAAAATGAAATTTGCATTAATATCTATTTTTTATAGACTTATAGACTATAGTTATTAAATACATGGGTAAATTATTATTTTTTTTTTTCAATTTTATTATTTTAATTTATTTATTATTAAAAATGTCAAACTAATTAGCCATACCAGCGACATCGTGTGTTTATTATTATTTTAAATAGTTATAATGCACAAATATTTGTATATTATCTATTGCTTATGAATATTGTAAATTTATAATTGACAATTGATTTGGTTAATTTGCTGTTTTATTTATATTTTTAAAATTGTTTATTTTTTCAGAAATGTTTTCTTAACTCTATCCATAAAACCCACAAACACATTTTTGGTTATCCATATATAATGTCCTCCTATAATAAATCGTATGCCATAATAAATATTATATTTGAGTATAAAAGTGAATTTTATTTTACATTTTTTTGTTATGAAGTTACCTATTACTTTTATTTTGTTTTGTTTTTTAATTTATTGTATTTCAATTACTTATCAGGTGTGTGTCTTATGTTATATATTTATTTCAACTATCTACATTATGTGATACTCGTGACTAATAAATGCTGTAACAAACATGAATAATAGCATCAAATACGCAAAATGCTTTATCACGTTGGTTTTTACAAGTTATATTCTATAATTCTATATAGTCTCAAATTTAGGTAGTTGGTCAAATTTTTTGCGTTGTTCCTTTTGATGTTTTAATTCCCTTTTTTTTACTCTTAGAATCAACCATGATTTGTGCTTGTTTCTTGATTAAATATCTATTGGGAACAGGTTTTTCTTCTTCATCCTTGTTCGCTAATTCTATGACATTGTCTTCCAATGACCACAGTACTGCCACATCCTAATACCACGCAGAATATATTTTTAATATTATGTACCTATGCCTATATTCTTGATTTTTATAGTTTTAAATTAAAATGTACGTACGTTGTTTTTAATCCTTCCATTCACATTACGTTGATCTTTATCTACAGCTCCACGACTTTTTATTACATTCTCATATTTGGTTTGTAAAAGACATATTAACCAATCAGCTTTATCAATACTTGGACATTTATCTGGTACTGGTGCGCTGTCTGCTTCTTTTAATGCAAGGCACATGTCGTATAGTCTTAATAGCGTTGAGTCAATTTGATTTGATAATTCAGACTTGTCTTTTTGTAAGCGTTCGAGTCTATCTGTTTCTTCGATAATTTTAAACTTGAGATTTTCAGTTTCTTCGTCATTCCTGCATAAATAATTGATAATTAATATGAAAAAATTTCAACGGAAAAATCAATTTAGATTTTAGAATGAATTAAGTTAAAATATTCTAACTAATTGCTAGACGAATATTATGTTTGAAAATAATATATTTGTATTAGGTGTATTTCAAAACGACTGTGCCTCATGCATTGAGTTTGAATTAGCCAGTCTGCTTATTTAAAAACGTATAAGCAGATTTAAATTTAATATTCATTTGTTAACACATAATCAATTTATGATTACATTATTTTGATACATAAATAAAGAAAAATCAGGTATAAAAATGTTCTGACATTCTGAGTATTATTTAATTTTCAAAATAAATATTTAATTAATACTTTAGCGAGTGACGACCAAAATAAATTAAGTAATATAAATTTCACAGTCTATTTTGTAATAATTTTATACTTAAAATATTATTTAAAAAGTAAAGACAGATATATTCATGATAAATTTACTGTTCTTTGTCTTGAGCATCGGAGAATCGACATTGTTCAAATTCCTCATTAAGTTGTTGGCATTTGATTTGGAGATCCTTTTTTTGATTTTCAGTATTAGTTTTCAAAGTAGTTAATCTATCTTTAGTTTCTTTTTGTGATACAAACTTTCTTCGTACGTCTTCACTATCAATTGAACCTGAGTCGTTAAGTAAAATTAATAATTTATAAATATATTTATTATTTACTACCAAGCGTTTTAACTTATATCAATAATATTTCATAACGTGAATTAACTTATTTAAATATTACTTTATAGTTTTAAAAATCTAGGAGTTTTGTTATTTAAAATGTTTGTATTTTATTTCAACGTATTCTTAATTAGTAATAGTTTGAGATGAATATTTTCATTTTTTTTTCTTTATTTTCAAAACAATTAAAAAAAACCAAATTAAAAAGGTTTTTACTAAGAATATTTTGATCATATTTTGGTTATTAAGCTCAGCTAGAAATTATATAATTCAATAAAACGATTTATCATTGCTTTCAAAATGAAAGAAACACGCCCTTACATCCACCCATCTCTATTGTACCCACCACTTTTTTCTGTCAGTTTTATTCATACAACCATTACCAGTAACTTGTTTCAGTTTGAAATATGGCATGTCAGTAATTTCTTGACTATCCGATGATCCATTATCTCCAAGCCGCTGTTCTTCCGAAGAACTAGGAATTGAATCTTGATGTGTAGCTCTCTGTCCCGGTGGAAATATTTTTCGTTCCAATTTTTCTAACTCCGTTTTTCTTTCTTCTACTTGTGCTCTATTTACAAACACGTATAATGTTCATATTAAATAATTATTAGATAAATTATCACAGGTGTCACAAAATTTAACTCACCTAATTTGTTCTATTTGTTTCATACGAAATTTCGCTATATTAGCTGCGTTAGTTTCTTTTTTCTGCAATACTGATCTGGTCTTATCCCTTGATTTGATGGCTTCTTCGTTGATTTTCTTAATACAGTAAATTATAAATGTAAATAATTATAGACAGATAAATGAATAATTACTTCTAATCGTTGAATTTCACGTTGTTGTGTTTTTATTGTTTTTTCTAATTTATTCAATGTGGAATCAAACACTACCGAGTCTTCCAAAAGTCGATTTCTTATAGATCTATATTTACGTGTCACATGTGACGCTTCCATTCGACTCATTTCGATTTGATGAGATCGATTTTCAAGTGCCGAAAGCGTCTATGCGTAGGTATATCACTAATTAATTTAGATTTAAAAATTAAGGATATTTTTCAATACTTTTGTCGTATTTGAATCCTTGTCTATATTAGAAACAACCTTTGACCGCCCATCACTCCATTTTCCGAACAAGTCGTTCAATTTGATCCTTTTCTATAACACCACAGTCAAGAAACTTATAAAATTGATAAAGGTTACAACTGGTTATTATACTCTATATCTACCTGTTTGATATCATGTCTAATTAGATCTGTTTTTTTTTTCATGTCGATCAATTTTAAATCCAAAATATCTATTGCTTCGTGATACTTTTTTCTCTTTAAAATTCTGATTTTTTCATGTGGTTTTGCATCTGGTAATGCGTCTACACACTGAAAATATTGAATCATTTGTAAACTTTGTATAAATTAATATTAAAATTTATTTAAATTATTTTTTGTAGAAATACTTGTATTTTATCTTTTTACATCAAAACACATAGTGTTATAAGTTATATGAGATAGCTAGTGACTTCAATTAATTTCAATATTATTATATTAATATCGTTAAATACATTACTTAGTGAATGTGTTTTAAAATAACATGAGATTAAATAAACAATAAATACTATCTTTAAGTTGCAATCTAACATACATTCTGAAATTCATAGATTATTTTTTCTACAAATTGTCAAAAAATAATAGTTAAAAAAAATTATTAAGTAAAGTCTTATTAGTATAGACACTATTGCACTACGGTAATTATATTTGACCTTTATACGAAAAATTAATACACTAGTATAATATTATAATACTATTATCTGCTGATAAAATTTTTGTATAGGTAAATTTATATTTGATGTGCATATAATATTTAAATTGTTATCGCATTATTTTTATTCCGCACGATAAGCAATAAAAATATATTTTAAAATAATAAACCGATTAGAGTTTATATTTTTTCAGTTAACTTAAAACTTTTTAAATATATATATTTTTAATGCATGTTTGACAATATTTTATGCATAAGCGTATTTATATTTTAAGAGTTTTTAAGGAATTTTAGGATTATAATTTTGAGTTATGAGTTTAAGACTTACTGTGGATTCTTGTCTTTTGATTTGGTACATTTCTTTAATGTCACGCTTCAACATTTGAATCTTCTCGTTGTTTTTTTTCTTTTCTTCCTCGCATTCTTCGTATTGGGCTTTTTTTTGTCCTTCTAAAACGTAAATGTTTATATTTTAATACAAAATTCCATATTATGCAATATATTTATTATTTAATATTTTTGATGATTAAAGTTTATATTGTATTTTATTGATAAATTTGTGGTTTGTTGGTTAACATACACACAACTAGCCGGTTCATAATTGGATGAGAAAATTGTATATTGAACAACTATAATGTATTTTTCAATTTATTCTATATTATTTTGAAAACAAGATCTACATTGAAAAATGATAGTGGTTAACCACACATAACTGTAACTGTAGATTTATTGTTAAACAGTAGTCTTGTTCTTCTTATTTAAAATATTCATATATATATTTATATTTTAATATTTTATATAATATATTACATATACATAAAATATATATGTATTGTACATTTTTAAACTTATTAAATAACGACAGTGTGTGATACGTTTTGTGTGTTGAATTAATTTACTTTTGATAAAAATTATCATCATTATTCAGAATATTTTCAATAAAATTAAAATAATTCATTTCTTTATTAACAAGTAATAATACTATATACATTATTTTACATCTATTTTGAATAATAATTACTAATTATAATGGATTGAATGGTATTTTACTTACCAGAAAGTTGAATTTTCTTTTTTAGCTCGTTTATATTTTTTATAAGTTCCTCTGTAGGAACCAATGATTTCTCACGTTTACTTGGCATAATTATTATTTATTTTTTTATATATTATACACATTAAAATAATGTACCACATTCAGTGGCTACATTTCATTTACATAAAAAAAAGACTGCTCGTTCAAGCTTATTTATTTTGGTGCACATGTAGTTTGATCAATAACAAGACTGTAACGAACTATATAATAACCCTTTCTACTTCAGTTTATAGTATCTATATACCTAGTTTTTTTTAGTTTTTTTTTTTTTGGGGGGGGGGGGGAATTAATTGTTTTGATACTCCATTATAGTTTCTCAGAGAATAAAATTTAATAATAATAAACTAACCTACCTAGTTCTTCATAAATTAATCTTACAGCGATTTTAGAATATCAATAATTTATGGTTGCAATTTTTGTTTTTATAAGTGTTTAAGTTTTAAGATTTTAATTTTAATTAAATTAAATATTTAAATCAAAAATACAGCTTGTTTTTAAATTATATTAGTTTTATTATTTTTTTTTTTTTTGTGATTCAAAAAGTATTAATTATAGAAACTTGAACGTTTTTGCTATTACTTATAAGTATAGTTACTTACTGTAATTTTCTAAATTATTATACTAATAACAAATTAACTATATTTAATATAATATTGTTTAAATTGATTAGATGAACTCTAGTCATACCGGAAGACCAAAATCCTCAAAATTTCTTTGAAGTCTAAGCATGAAATAAGTAATTAAGCTTTAAAAATAATTTAAATTGTATATAATGGTACATACGTAGCTAAAAGTATTGTAATTATACCATATGTGAAAATTCACATATCCGATTAACTTTGATTTGGACAGTATATCTATGATTATTTTCTACTTGTTACGCATTATTAATAATATAGTTAGTCAGTTCTTAACTTAACCACTTAATAATTTTTTATATAATTATAATTAAATTACATTGAGTTAAAAGTTAAAAGTTAAAACGATAATATTTACTGATATAAGGTTATAAAATAAATTAAATGCTTAATTTACACAAGGACTTGTTAATAATTTATTTATTTTTTTTTTTTTTTTGATATGTTTTCAAAGATGTTTCATATATTTTATATACATATTTTAAAGATGTGGAAGGATATAAAAGCCAAAAGATAGTATTACAATCATTGAGCGTTTTTTTTACTTGTAGGTAAGTACTCGAGATTCATAAATATTAATACATAGCACGTCCAACATACAAATTATATCTGATATTCTAATCGAGGTGCTGCCGAGGATAAGCACAATAATGTAATGAATAATTGTTGTTTAGAACAAAAAAAAAATAAAATAATAATAGTAATTAAACAATTTGTCATAGTACTATTGAAAAGAAAAACGCCGTTGTTATTTCTTGAAATAAAAATATCCCAGGTATACAGTTTACATATTAAGAGGCTGTTTATTTTAATATGTTTAACCAAAAAATATTATATACACACAATATTTTTGTTTTTTTAGAAAGTACAATATTGACGACATATGTACGTCAAATACGCTTATGTTATTATAACAGTAAAATATGTAAGTACACGTGAATATCATGTGTTAATAATATGGTCTTCGTTTAAGCTGTACTCCCTAAATGAGCTAAGTGAAATAATTGAATATAGTATTACTGTATAAGTAATTTAAATTTTAGTATGCTTATATATGATCTAAAACAATAACATCTGCTTCTGTGACATTAAATAATAAGCGAGTTTTTTTTTTAAATTTTCAACTATAAATGAGGTAAGTATTTATTTAAATTTATAATTAATCATTTCGTCCAGAGCACCGATACAAATAGATTAATAAGTTACAGTAAGTATTAATAACAAACATGTTTACAATATACCTCAAGTCAAATTATAAACTTGAAATTTAAAATTATTTCATAATATGTTAATAAAAATTAAGATAATATACGTTTTATAGTATACTTGTATTCTGTTTATTAATAATTCTTATATTCAGATATCAAAGATAGGTTAGACGAAAAGGTTTTTTATTAAATTCGTAAATAAAATGAGTTTGTAACAGTTGATGATTGGTATTATCAATTAACCTAACCTAATAATTACGTGCTGTAAAAGGAATTTATTTTTTTGAAAGTCTATTATAAATAATTTTAGAATTTAAATTTTTTATTCATTCTCGTTTCTTATACTAGGAATTTAAAATATTATGTTCAAAATTTATAATGATTAATAGCTATGACTTTATGAGTTAAAATTGTATTAATAAATATTAATTAAAATCTTGAAAACTGCAATAGTGACACAAATTTAACTTTATTTGTATATTTGTAAAACAACTGTAAAATATGTTTGCTCCACACGACTCAGATACACTTAAAAATAGTTATATTTTTCATACATAATATAGTAGAAACTATAAAAAATTCACTATTTGAGTAAAAGTATCGTTCGTCAATAGAACATAATTATAACTATTTTTCAAATCTTCTAAGAAATAATAAATTTGTAAAAAATTTAAATTTAGTTGTGAGTAAGGTTATATTTTGTTTTAAAATTTTAAATACTTAATCCCTAATTAATATAATATTATATCTGTACTGATTGTACATAATGTTTCGAGTCCAAATACTTCTGTAAGAGTCCATTGTTGAGATTAACTCGATGACAAGGAAAATATCTACAAGCTACATCAAGCTGTAATAAATATTGTGTGTAACACTTATTCAATTAGTTGTTGTAATTCTGTACGATTAATTAGAAAAAACACTTATAGATCCTGATTCATATTTATAGCAATATTAATTATTTACGTTTAAAAAAATATTTAATACGTATGTTGACCTCATGGTCGGAGTAATCAGCAACTATATGGGACTGCAGCGCCGTTATTTTAGTATCCTCATTCTTTATGAACGTATCACGTGTACAGCACATCAAGTAACATACTAAATTATAATGTATCTATAGTCTATACGTTTATTATATTGTTTTATTTTACTATAATAGTTCGTCATGACTAATCGAATGAGACCGGTTTTAAGATTTAACGATATACGTAATAACATACATGAAATTAAATTTTTTGCCATATACCTAACATCTTTAAATTTGTAATAGAAATATTCAATAACGAAAAAATCTGTTTTTTTTTTTTTGATAATATTTTTTCCATATAAATCATTAATAGGTGGATATATGATTTGTTTTTTAAATTTATTATCTATATTATTTACTTATGTAGTATAATGTAAAATGTAATCATTATCCATTAAAATTTTACATTTGCGCAAGACTTATCATTAAATGACCGCTATGAGTTGTGTCTTATAATTTGTAAGTTGAAAGTAAATAAGAAATATTATTGTATTAAATATGTTGTGTAAAATAAAATCCAATGCGGTTATAACGAAGATTATTTAAGGTTATTTATCGTTGTAATTGTATATTTTTCTTACTGTACTTTTAACGTTTGAAATGCACCATACATATTAATATGTAAATACTTTAATAATTTGATCTTCATTACAAAATAGAAATATGAATACATAATACACATGTTATGTGCCTAGGGGGCATTCAAAATGTAAAAGTATTTCGGAGTCACCTATCGGATATTCTATATCGGACATATTACGTACTTATACAACTGTTTGAAATATTATGAACAATGATACGATTTGAACACGTTTGATATATTGGTCAGTTAAAAACGTAAATATTTATATTATAATGATTTTGTCGAACAATAAAATTAGAAGTGTGTACTTATTTAATACAAATAGTTAAAATAGACTAAACAAATAATAAAAAAAAATTATATCAGGTGTTCAATGTGGATACATTTTAATATACCAGATCACATCATATATACACGGATGATCGGTGATCCGTTTCATAACATGTGTATGTTGACGCCATTTGGGCACCAATGTTTACGTCACGGCTCAAAAGTCAGTCTACACTATTATTAAATGTACATTTTGTGTACAATATAAACTTGTATAGTATTATTTATGAATATGGTTGTCAAATGACTCTGCAAATGTCCTTTATACATACATTTGTTAGGTAGGTAGATAAATATAATAATTGAATTTCTGTAGATTATTAAACGTTAAACTTGCGATATTAGTACCTATTTATAAATGTATGATAATCGTATAATACATATATTAATATTTATTTACACTAACAAAATTCACAATAACCAAAGGAAATAATTCATTGACATAATTTGACATGTGTTTTTATTTGTTTGTGTTCGTTTTAAGTATAGGTTACCTATTACTTACTAAAAACGAAATAAATACCTATATAGTTGTGTCTTCACATCTTATTATACGCAATTTTAAATTACCTTCTATTTTCAAATACCTAAAAACATAATTTAAGTTGGTTATTTAATGTTTTGCATTATTTTTGTAGGCTATATGTATAGCCGTATGGATATTGAGTATGGAATAGTTTGAAAAGATGACTGGTTTTCTTTACATGAAAATGATTACATAAAATCCTTAGGTATAATTTATCAAACCTAATATTTAGAATCGGCAGGTTCTCATAATTTAAAAACGATTGAATTATTTGAATTCACATGTCGGAGTATTTTAGGAACTTAATATCTTTTATTTTTAACGTAATCATATATTTTAACTATCTATATTTTTGTTACAGAAGTAATTGATTATTTACTATTTACTTACTATAGTAAGTTATCTTATAAAAATATTTTTGTAATAGCTTTAAAAGTATAAGTATTAATAGTATTGTAATATATAATAATCTAAGTCTAACAAAATGTTTTGTATGATAATTTGCATTATGATTTATACAAATTTACTTTTTATGCTACTATTATATCTTGATAATTGTAATATTATATTTTTTGAAAAATTTAATTTTTAATCAAAATGAAATAAGGTAAAGTATTTGTAATTTTTATTAAAAAGAATGTGGATATTATAGGTAACCACTGCTTATTCAGTACATTTATTCAAGGCTTAACTTCCATTCATGATATACATAGCACTAAACGTTTAAAAAAGAAAGCAGAGTTCCAATGATTTTCAATTAACCTTAAA